CGCCTTCTTGGTCAGCCTCAGAACTGAAGCCGTAGCTTCTCCTGGTACCTTAGAAAGCTTAAACTCTTTCCTCTGGCTTATTCAGAGCCCAGAGCTCCCTCACTGTGTCTAACAGAATGCTGCCAGGTGGGAGCCTGTTCTGCTCAAGCTCTTCGTCTGAATATTGGAGAAGACAGAGAAGTAAGAGCTGGACTATTCAAGTTATACAAAGCAACACAGCAAGAGAAATCCACCTGCCCAGAATGATTTTTCTAATTTGAAAGTTAAGAAAGAAATCCTAAGTTAAAATTTGAACAGTTTTGGTCAGGTTTTTCCATTTAACATAGTCGGCTATTATGTCACCATTTGTATAAATCATATTTTTATTTTAGTCTAAGGGAAATTCTGTCCTTTCTCTTAAGAGCTGGGTTGGCCTACTTCTGCCCTTCAGTGGGCTGTTTGTTTGAGCTCTAAAATAAAGCTTACCTAAATACACGCAGGCAGGAGACGCTCACAGCAGGGCCCCAGGAGCCTGCTGTAGCCCGAGGCAGCGTGGGGTGCAACTCACCTGAACTTTGAGCAGCCGATTCGGGAGGTCAGTGTAGAGGGCATCCCACTGCTGCGCCGTCAGGCCCTTCAAAGCCAGGATTGCTTCAATCACCAGCATGTCTGAGATGGCGTCACCCACTGTCTGTTAATGGGAAGGGAAGAAATGCTGGAGTGGTCAACAGTGACGAAACGAAGGTAGGACTTGATCAGTAAGCTCCCTGGTGGAGAGGAGATGTGCAGCCAGGCTGACCTGCCTCAGCCCGGGTAGGTGAGGTCAGTCGGTTTGTCTGTCTTGGGGGGTATGGTGGTGTTTTGGTTTTTCCTCCTGACCACGCTGGCGCGGCGGTAAGAGCAGCAGCACACTTGTACGGCTCTGCCAAGGGCAAGGGCTAGTTCTCGCCGCTCCGAAGGAGGGCTGGCACGTCGCCTTTGTTCTGGGGTCAGGGTGCTAAAAAGCTGGTGTGTGCAGCATGACTTGGCACTACCCCAGAGGAGCACATCTGTGCTGAGCCGGGGAGTCCCGGGCCTGTGTGGACATGGGCACCGGACTCCCCCCCACCCCCATCCTCCCGTACCGCATAAGGTGGCAAAAAACACCAGCTGAAAGGTTAGTGGCTGCGGCATCATGAAGAAGTCACAGCCTGTCACTAGATTCCCACGCTGTCCCGCTCCCGCTTTGGGTCCCGACGCCCGAAGACTGCACCAGATGAAAGCGCTCTGCATCCACTCGTGAGAAAGCCCGACACCTTTGTGAAGGGGGCTGCTCCTGCCCTTTTCTTCTTGGCCCCCTCCGTCACGGCACCCTACTTCCTGCTCCAGCAGTCCCTGGCAGTACTCACAAACAGGGTGAGCCCCATGATGTCAACACAGGGATTTGTTTCTCTCAGTTTTTACCTGATTAATCAAGTCAATCATGTTTTCGAGCACCTTTGCTGCTTCTCTTTTTCCATCATCTTTCTCCTCTTTTGCCAGTTGTCTTATTTTAGTTTCAGCAGCTTTACTAAATAATACCTAGAATAAAAAGATGAGAGCTTGTCAAGATCGGCCCACATCATGAACTAGGACACGTGCAGCAATGAGGAAAAAACTTTTACCCTTTAAGCCCACATACCCATCATCAATATTTGCTACCACGAATTCCCATCCCCACATAAAACCTCTAGATGAGTGGGTGGCAATGCAATGATAAGGACAGAAGGGGGAAACAAGTCTGTTCTCAAACAAGGAGAGTGAAAAGACCAGCTTCTCCAGCTAACCCAACTGACCTCTTGTAGCTATTAGCTGATCTTGCGCATTACATACTCATACTTACTGTACCGTGTCCATTTGCCTCAAAATAAACACCAACATCAAACTCCTGGGCCTTGTGATGCAAGTGTTTCACTCCTGTTTTGACACAGTGCACAGGTACCTGCAGCCCAAGGATACACAGAGAAGGAGAACAGTGTTACAGACCCTCCGCAGCAGGCGGGAACTGCAGGTGAAGTGCCAGGAACCCAGCACCCACCGGGCAGACTGTTACAAACTAACCTGTGTTTCACAACCACTGATTCCCCAGAGCTAAAACTATCCACTATTTCTGCAGACCCAGTTAAAAGGATGATTTCATTTATTCAAGTGGAAATAGAGGCTGATTTTTTTTTTTTTTTTAAATATATAAATAAACAAAATCCAAACCAAGAAAAACCCAATTCATTTTATGGTTTCAGGGAACATATCAGATTTCTATGCAAACCGTAGCTCAATTTCCATAGAGAAAAACATTCAGCCTGTTGCAGAAAATGAAACCACCAGTGTCAAAGTATCATGGAGCCTTTACTGATTCACTTCGTTGCAAAGCCATGAAGTCCTCAGCTTGTTCCAGAAGTAACAAGGGATTTTGTTTAGCTTTTGCCAGTTTTTGTTAAACTAGTAAAAGCCAACTAGAACTTTTTCAGATTTGCTCTCTTGAATCTCCTTTGCCACGAACAATTTAGTCACTACCACAGGCTTGAAAGAGTCATTTGTTTTAGTCTAGTTTAAGTCTTCCTAGCAATCACATTACAGTAGCATTAAAAGCAAACAATTTGGAAGCAAACAACATTTGCAGAAAACTACCAGAAAAAAAAAAACAAGAATACCTTCAGTGTTTCCTCCAGGTAGCGTGTCGAACTTCCATTGGCATAAGCTGTTTGTACCACGGCCATCTTTAAGGTGTGTCCCACCTGAGCAAACCAAGAAGCAAAAAGTGCTTTACTGCCCGGCAGGCACATCGCTGGGTGAGCGGCTACAAATGGAAGGACAACCAGAATTACTAAACACACGTTCTCCTACGGACACCTGAAACTCCTGGGCATCAGAGAAAGGCACCAGCTTTATGTTCCATATGTTTAACGTAGGAGTTGTTTTCAGGTCTTTGTATGTCACATACGTTGTGGCTGGCCTGAAGCAGCTCTCCGAGCTCAGGCTTTCCAGGCACCCATTTCAGCCTCAGCAGGCTGGGTGCGCTGCCCAGACCCGGGGCTTTACATGAGGCCGTACACACAAGCAGTGAAGGCAAAGCGCCCAGTGGAAAGCACGCAAAGGCTGGTGGCCAGCACACGCTCTCCTCGCTGGCCACAGCGCAAGAAATGAGCTGGTCTCTAAGAAAACAAACCCAGGATACCTTGTCTCTGTGGAGTATCACAGACACCAGAGGACTTTGGAAAAGGAAAAGCTTTTTCTCTCTCTCCCCTGCGCGGGGAGGATGCTGTGTGGCAGATGGTGGGTCTGGAACAAAGACATACAAACCCCTTGACTGCCACAACCACGTTCTCATGCAAATGGACTGCCCAGCCTTCAGAAAGCTTCACAGAAGTGCTGAGGGAAGGACTGAACCCAAAATTAATGAAAAATTAACGGAAGATACTGAAACAAAGAGTGGAGTTACCAGTCCTTTGTACGCTGAAACTGGAAAAGTTCTCTCCACTAAGAAAAGGTTCCAGGTTAAAACATTGGTGCTTGGATTTTTATTTGGAGCGTGGTAGTCACACCCTTGTAAACCCAACATTTTGGCCATACCAGTGAGGCACAGGACAGATCTCTTTTTAAACCGGGTTCACTTTAAGTAGATGTAGAGAGACTGCATACCTTCAAACTAACACAGCTCCCTTAGGCTATTTTACACTTTACAAATTAAAGTGTCCGCATTCATTTCACGTGTTGGAGTTACCTTGGTGAGAAGCTCTTTAAGGAAGACACTAATCAAAGTTGCTATTTTATCTCCATCGATTAGGTGAAAATGGCCAGTTGCGTCCTTATAGTAATAAACAATTCTATCTGCATCGCCATCAAATGAGCAGCATCTCTCATTGGGCTTCATGTCCAGCCCTGAGGCACACAGGGTTACAAAGAGACAGAAAAAGATACAAAATGTTTCAATTACTCCGCAAGGAAATGAGCTCTGCGAGGACACACAAACAAAACCAGGGCTCTGAACAAACGCTGCTTTGACTAAGAGACTTGCAACAGGGAAGCTGTATGGAATGGTGACTGAAAAGTGCATACTCAGATCCAAAATATAACCACTAATATAAATGCAGGTTCATTATGCTACACCTTCTCCCCAGATGTCCATGAAAATCAGTCCCAGAACTACTCTGTGTAGTCATACCTCTAAATTTTGGAAATCAGCGCAGAACTTCAGTTACGGCACAAGGTTAAAAACCTTGCACAGAGGAACACCCGCCCCTTTCCCCACCCACCCATCACCCCACAGCACACCCGAGCCGCTCGATCG